GTAAGTGTTTAATAGCAGTGCACATTAACTGACAATACGTTGAAAATATATTAGCGAAGATATTAGCGAAACGATCAGTTCACTTCTAATTTATTCGCAAATTTAAACTTCCGATACTTTAGTCTGCTGTTACACGTTCGAACAATATCTTCTATCAGAATACAATGATTTTTCAATTGAAGAAAGATGGTTCTTACGTTGTTCGTATAATGTTACAATACGATACAACATATTTTTAGGACAATCGTAAGCTACATCACTACAACACCCCCAGTCACTGAAATTGAAAGAGTTCTTGTGAAAAATATCGTACAGGTGAATGAGTTCTGACGATTCATCGTCGAACGATTCTCGGGTAAACGTTCTTTCACGAAACGTACCGTAACAAAGGCAAGATTTTACAAGGGTAATTCCCAAGCAGTTGGCCGATTCCAAAATTCTCATTCTGGACAGCATTCATGGAAGCACAGCAATTCCTCGCGTTCTACGTTGCAGACGACCAAAGCTCCCCTTGCCCATTCTATTCTATGCCCGAACCTGAATGACTGCGTTCTCGCCTAAGATTAGCGGATGCCTCTCTGGAGTGGCGATGGCTTCGATACTTGTACTTTTCTAATGAGCAACTCTTTCCACGAATTCTCCAATGTACAGAATGGATCACCGATGCTACTCATCTTGAATGTCTGCATTACTTCGGACAACAGGAACAAATTTCAGCTACAGTGTTCCATGATTTTTGGGGGTAAATTGAAGTGCAAGAGAGATCTCAATATTGTTGTTTTTTTTTTTTTTTTTAATTTACGGTAGAATTTTATAAAGTGACGAATTCTGATAGACGAAAAGGTATTAAGGTACACGAACTCTAAAAATCAATAATTTTAGAGTCAATTGTTTTAGAGAATTTTATAATCTCTGCTCAAGAATATCTCGAAAACTATAAGGCAATGCTACTATTTTCGAAAAAATAGAAACTAGTACGGTTTGAACAATTTGTAGAAATAATTTGTTTTCAACTTTAGTTAATTTGTGTTTCGTCAGAGGACTCAGTAGCACGATTTACACGGATACAAGATACTTCAGTCGATCTTAAGCTGCGTCTACATTATGTAACAAAACAACGTTGTAAAAGAAATTGTTTTATAACTTTGTTGTAAATATTCAAACTTGATTTGTTCAAAAACGGAGATACGTATGAAAAAATATTACTTTATTTGTAGGAATCACCTCCTTTGCGATTGTACAACGATTTCGAAAACACCCTGTATAACGTTATGTTGTATAGCGTAGACACAGCTTTACAACAGCAACGCTTATTCGCACACTTCGTTCCACGTGCCTCGTTAAACGTTAACGCCTTTGCGAAAAACAATAGCGTATCGAGCTTCAAACCGAACCTCGCTGCACTAGTAGAATATTACATGCATTAGCGCGCGTATTGCAAATATCATTCTTACTAACAAGTATCAACCCTTTCGCTGCGGCAAATTTTAGTAAGCTGGACAGATAGCTAAAATCTGTCGTTTTAGCCTATTAAAATTTTCAAATTAAAATGCCAAATTTAAACGTGAAATTTTGTCGTTTGAAAAATCAAGGTGGAAAGGTAAACCAAGAACAAGAATCAAAGGTTTCAATTCAGGTGAAAAAAGTGTCAACAGCACACAGTACGAGAAAATATAAATCTCTTATTTTGGCGTTCTAGAATTTTCAAAACATTTTCAAATAAAAATTCCAAATTTCAATTTATCGTTTGAAAAATCAATGTGGAAAAGTACGCGAAGACCAAGAATCAAGCTTTCAATTAAGGCGAAAGACTGTGCGAAAAAGCGCCAAAATCGTACAGCGCGAGAAAACATTCGATCCGCCTATAGGCGTCAAGGTCACCGAGCGCGAGAGAAAATATCGAAAGCGCCTATAGGCGGCAAGGGCGCGGCGCGAGAAGAAAGTTTCCAAAGCGCCTATAGGCGCGAACCGACGGCAGCGTAAGGGTTAACGAATTTGAATATCGAACCGATTAAAATGGAGAGAACTACTGGTTCACGAGCAACCGAAACGTTTCGCTACGACGATCCTGTAGGATCCTGTAATTTTCGCGCTCGGAGGCTCCACTCCATTCGCCGCGGTGCTATAAATTAGCGCAGCACGTGTACGCACATGCAACTAACTCATTCATGTACCAAGAGACTTGGCAAAGGTTCGTCGCATAGCTCGGCGCTTCCTAAATCTATTCCGGGCTTAAAGACGGCGTGTACGTATACCATGAGAACAAGAAGTAAGAAAGCACCGACGATATACATACCTTGCACTCGGTGCACGCCTGCATCGCCTGCCTTCGACGAACAACACTAAAACGTGCCTTGCAACGCGACTACATGATCCCCGCCACGGAACACACCATTTTCTTGCTGTGTGACTTGCATACGATAAAAACACGGTTTCTCTCTCTCTCTCTGTTTATCCGTTTAAAATTGTATTTAATATATACAGGGTGTTCCGTAAGTGTTCGTAACTGTTGGGTTAGAACGGTGAAGTGGTGATTCTACGTGAGAAAATAAATCAGAAGTATAGAGTAACATTTTCTTTTCCCAGAAAACACTGAAAATTGAATTTGAAGATTCGATGCAAATTCTGTTGCTGTTAATTATACTTTTATGCGGATAAATAGCCGTGACGTCACGTTTTAAGAAGAAATTTTCTATACGGAAGATTTTTTTCTTTTTATTAATTGAGTTATTCGCAATGAATTCTCTGGGAGAATTATAAGTAAATTATAGAGAAGATAGTGTACATTTGTTGTAGGTGAAAGAAAAAAAAGAATTGCACAGACTTTAAAATAATTAATGTACGTATGAAGGTCTATGCAAAAATTGCAATCGTACTTTTGTTTTCGTTATATTTATAATTAGTCGTTATCGAAATAATAATAATATAATATTGACACTATAGCTACATAATATAATATAGAAGCGTATTTACGTTTTATTAGATTTATAATTAGCCGCTCTCGAAATAATAATAATATAATACTGACACTATAACTATATAACATAATACAGAAGCGTATTTATTTTCTATTATGTTTAGAATCATCGTTAAAATACTAATAATATACTTAGTATATTGTATTAACTATAGTACTGTCACGAATACCAACAATGAAAGTTTAAATAAGAAAAGAAACATACAGTGTGTCTATTAGTACCGCCGATTTACAAGCTTAATAATAATGAAAATACCGTATCATCGGTCCACGATTTGTTGATTCAAAATAATTTAGACAGGTTATTCGAATTTATCACGTAAATTTAAATTGAAAAAATCGTCGATAACCTTGTCACGAAAAATTGTTTATTAGTACAAACATAAGGCCGAGAAATAATTAAACGCACACGCCGAATATTTCAATTCAATCCTCTCGGAAATTAAGTTTCTCAGGACCAAACTTTATTCTACCTTTTCGCCTCATTTTTTCACGTAAAATCACACCATTCACGGTACACCCCGGTATATTAGAGCATTTAATTCTCCAACACGCTAGAATTCACAATGAAGGCAGAAGAAAATATTCTCTATTACCATCTCAGTCGACGAAATTCGTTCAAAATAGAATTTTATAAAAAGTTTGCAATACTATCAAAATCTGCCCGAAAATTCATGCAAGAATACCAACGTAAACGAGATACGATTAATTTAGAAAAATGGAAGTGAACTATAGACGAGTGTTAAAAGAAAAGAATTTGTCTCAAAAATATTTTCACACACTAGCCGGATACTATCTTCGAGTTGGTGTTCGTCTAGTCACTGTTACCACGAATCAGACCTAATTTTCCTTTCAAATCGTATGGCAATCGGTTCAACGGTTCAGTTGGAATTTTTTCCCCAAACATTCATACATTCGTTGTGTTTTTTAGGCACGAGGAATGTATAATACATGTCTCGAGCATACTACATGCATGAAACCATGAATGGAATAAGAAGGGGGGGGAAGGAGTAGAACGTAAGAGACGGAAATTATAAACCGTTTGTGCACCGAACGTAAATTGTTACCTTCGAGTCTAATGGACACTTGTGCCAATAAAATTGCACACCGATTCAAGTAACCTATAAGAAAAATAACGGACAACCGAATTTTCGATTATGCAAAGTTTACCTTAAACTTTACTTCAAATTTTTCAATAGGTCAAATTTTCTTTCTCAAGTTCACCTTAACTTTGTGTGACTCAGAAGTTACGTATCCATTCATCTGTACTTTATCAGCTAATTTTTATAATAACAATTACAATTTACAAGCTTACAATTG